TATAGCCAGCTTATTTGGATAGTGAATTTGCCTGACTTAGGAATCAGTATATTTCATGCTAAATTTCCTTACAAATTGCATCCACGCAATTTTGCTGCATTATATTATCACTTTTTTTCTCAACACCTAATTTAATTTTATCACTGGCAAATACAATCTAAATGCGATTCTCACGCTTATGTGTCATTTGTTCTTTTTGAATATCACTTTCTTTTGGGTTCCTCGTAGCCCTCCATTTTCTCTTCTATGCCTTATTGGCTTCCATTTTCTCATTTGCACTCCTTCATATTTATCTTTATTCGGTTCATCTTTTAGTGGCCTACTGATTATTGGTATTAGCGCAAGGGCATTGGAGACTACCCATCTTCACAATAAATGCACACAGAATTGAACTTAGATGCACACAAAGATTCGTATACATATATCTGTAAATTTTTTTTCGTTCATGAACTAATTACCATAACCTATAAGCCTTGGTTTTTTATCCAAGTGTGCTTGATTTGAGATCAGACGGCACTTTACTCGATCTCTTACTTTTTTGGATTTTAATATGCTGGTTTAATTTTTCTTCTTCATAAGTCTTTCATATATGTGGGCGTTTCTATTACTTTTGATTTTATTCAAACATTTATCCATCATTGAACTTTTTTATTTACTTAATACCTATTGAGGATTCGAAATCTCTCTCAATAAATTAATTTGTTCTCTTTTGCATTAGAAAAAAGATGACATGAATTAGATCTACTTAAGCTCTTCACATTCTATAACTGAATACTGTAAGGATGTCATCCGACATCATCCCCTTTAGTTTCTTACTTTAAAATATACTTTGAATAAGCCCAGAGAGCTGATAGACTGACTATTAGAGAAATGGACTATAGTGGATCTGTAGAATTAGCATTTACATAGTTATGCAATGTGATAAATGCTACACGATTTTGCTGTTTTTCACCTATGCTATTACTCTGTTTAACGATTACTTTCAGACCAGGCAAAGCCAGCTTGATATACTAACCGACACAGCATTTCATCTATAGATAAATGGGGTAAGATCAAACTTTTCCAGCATATTTATGAATAAATACTCCCACACATATCTTAGAGCCATTGCTAAGCATCCAGAATCTTATGTCACTTTTGAAGCACAATTTCCAGTAGAAAATATTACGAAAAATATGACACGCATTGAACAAATTGTTCGAAGACATTGATTTAGATATGACTTGAGCGTTCAAAATCCTGGATTCTTTTGGCGAATTTTTTCTTTTACAGAAGTAGACAATGAAATATTCCATACATGTTTCATAGCCTTCATTCAAAATTATGTCTAGAATAGAATGGTTCAGCTACTGGTGGGTTGAATCATGAATTGTCGATATTATTGAAGGTTTTAACGATAGCCTGATAGATCTGCTTTAACAAACTTCAGCATCCACCCGACTTACACTCCCAACATAGATTCTTGATTTCATACTAGTAGTAATGCATTCATCGTCAGTAATCGTTGTCATTTCCAGGCTAGGAAATTCAAATCCAATGCACCACTTTCTGGCACAGGTACAAAGCATATTAAAGCGAAGAAAATAATTCTACATCGCAGAGTATGCGGATGACGTAGGTTGGTAGGCGAGAAAACCAGATATGCGCTTTGTTTCTGACTTCCATAATTAATTTAGCTGGTATGAATGAGCTCATCCTAAAATATTTATAACACTGATAATTTAAGAGATGAATGCCAAGATGTAGTCTTTACTTTGTTCGCAGCGAACATTCGAGTTTAGATATAACTTAACTTTAATTTCACAAATTAATCTTAGGACTATTTATAATAATATATTCCAGATTATGTTATATACATTTATGTTCTTTTATGTGCTCTCTCAGCACAGGGTAATTATTTAGGTACATTAAAGTTGTTTCGCCAGCATCATTGCCGGCATTATCAATGGTCAGTGCCATTCCTACCATTGAGATAAAACTCATCAAAGTGATTAGCTATTTTAACCCTGATTATCGACTATTTTTATTTTTCCTTGTTGGTTTATATGTACACACGACTTTAGTATATAGTTTTCACCTGCATAATATTTCCACGTCTTTCAACTTTTTATTCCGGTTCTAACCCTAATTATAAGGCACATTCATCAGTCTGGATGTCTGCACCAAACAATTAGCTGAGGACTTGTTACTCAGATATAATGCCGATTCTGCCATTGGCCCAGATGCTGGTGTTAAAATTGCAAACCATATCGTTGCTGACTTTACCGATAATGATACTTCCCGTCGGGCGAACGTAGTGTTAGTTAACCAAAAAGCTAACGCTACCTCTGGTTCTTGCAAGGAACTACCTTCCATTACATCCTTTTCTCCCTCCGTCTGCGCTAGTGGGGCCTCATTTACGGGTATCGAATCTAATGCCGGAGGTTCCAGAAGAACAGCAGAATCTTCTCGAATAAATATCCCTCTCACTGTTGCTCGTGTGAGGTCACAGCGGTTCGGCTGTGTTCAGGTTTGTTAAATCACCTTAATGCCTCTAAAGTATAGTGGCTTCTTATTTAAGCCCTCCAAGTTTAGCCTCCTTTTGTATTTATATTCATCCTGTTGATAATTTTATTTGTTTTTTTATTTATAATGCTACTCTCAGTGCATTGAGGTCTGTTCACAGGCTTGTTAGTCCCGTTTTTTATATGCTCGATTTCTCGACTTCTCGTCCTTACTTAATTACGCTTAAAAATCGCTCATATTTTCGGTCAGATTATATGCCAGTAATCGACGTTAAGCTAAAATTCCTGGATCTCATCTCAACTGTTTGCATCTCAAACAGTAAGTGCATCCATTTAAGGACTTCCTTGGTACAGTGAAGATAATGATCTATACTAAATTATCTGTGGATAAGAAGATTAACAGGGCAACAAGCTCTTCTACGTACATAACTTGATTGGATATTAATGTATATATTGAAACACCTTAGAGGAGCTGGCTTTTTAGGATGCTATATTGCTTATCTTTGATAATTATATGAAGCCAGCTTGGAACGCTTGATACGGTTATATTTCCTTTGAAGG